ATCTTTGCACTAAGCTAACCGCTGGTATAGATGATCATAAAGTGAAAGGAAAGGGTAAATCTAAAGCGTCTGGGGCATGCCTTGGCGATTTCTCTGCTAGCAAGGAAGAGTACTTGATTGGTGTCATCTCTGAGATACTTGGCGAGCTAAGTAAAGGGGATGGTGTCTCAACTTTTGAGTTTATTGGAAGTGGTGTGGTTGCAGCATTGCTTAACTATTTTTCTTGTGGGTACTTTTCCAAAGAGAAGATCTCCGAACTTAATTTTCCCAAACTTCGCCAGGAGGGTCTCAGAAGGTTCAAAGCCTTTCTAGAAGTCGCACTTCCATTTGATGGTAATGAGGGAAAGGTCCCTCCTATGACAGTTTTGATTCAGAAACTTCAAAATGCTTTATCGTCACTGGAACGCTTTCCTGTTGTCCTTAGCCACCCCTCAAGATCACTAAGTGGAAGTGCTCGGCTCTCCTCAGGACTGAGTGCGTTAGCACATCCTTTAAAGTTGCGATTATGTCGTGCACCTGGAGAGAAGACACTACGTGATTACTCCTCTAATATTGTACTTATAGATCCATTGGCAAGCATGGCAGCAGTGGAGGAATTTCTCTGGCCCCGAGTTCAACGTAGTGAATCTGGTCTGAAGCCAGCAGCACCTGCTGGAAATCTAGAGGCAGAGGCGTTACCTAGCGGTGCTGGTGTATCGTCACCATCTTCGTCAACTCCAGCTTCCACCACTCGTCGTCATTCTTCTAGATCTAGATCTGCAATTAACATAGGTGATACCTCAAAGAAAGAACCTGTGCATGAGAAAGGTACAAGTTCATTGAAAGGAAAAGGTAAAGGCGTGATGAAGCCAGCTCAAGCAGATAAGGGACCTCAAACAAGGAGCAGTGCTCAAAGGAGAGCTGTCCTTGACAAAGACACTCAAATGAAAGCGCCTAGCGGAGACTCCAGTTCTGAGGCATGTTACAGTGCTATGTTTTTTATTACATGATTGTTTTACATCATGATGCTGTGGTGTGATCTGCTTATTCACCCCTATCTTACATGTATCCCTTGCAGGATGAGGAATTAGATATATCCCCAGTCGACATTGATGATGCCTTGGTGATTGAAGAAGATGACATTTCTGATGATGAAGATGATGATAATGAAGATGTAAGTCATCCTTTGTGTTTTCCAGTATTTACATTATGTTCCGCCGTTGTCCTTCTTGCTAACACGTCAAAGATATTGAATTTGTACCTTACATGTGGTCTTGATCTTCTTGTAATACCTTCAAAGTCATTTATGCATTTATTTACAGGTTTTGGATGACAGTCTTCCTATGTGCACGCCTGATAAAGTGCATGATGTAAAATTGGCGGACTCAGTGGATGATGAGAGTCTGGCAACCAGCGGCCGACCAATGAATGCAGCTTCGGGAGGCACCAGTGGAACAGCAGCAGCAAGGGGATCTGATTCTACTGATGCTGGTGTTGGTAGTACTTATGGTTCTAGGGGTGCACTCTCCTTTGCTGCTGCAGCCATGGCTGGGCTTGGAGCTGCCAGTGGTAGAGGTATCAGGGGAAGTAGGGACTTGCATGGACGTACCCTATATCGAAGTTCAGATGAGCCCTCTAAGCTGATATTTACTGCAGGAGGAAAGCAACTTAGTAGGCATTTGACGATTTATCAGGCTGTACAGCGACAACTTATGCTAGATGAAGACGACGATGACAGGTTTGGTGGCAGTGATCTCATCTCAAGTGATGGAAGCAGATTCAATGACATTTACACCATCATGTACCAGAGGCCAGACAGCCAAGTGAATAGGTTGTCTGTTGGTGGAGCAAGTTCTACCACACCATCAAAATCCTCAAAGTCTGCTACTACCAATTCCAGTGTAGAATCTCAGTCACATAGGGCATCTCTTTTGGATAGTATATTACAAGGGGAGCTTCCATGCGACCTTGAGAAATCAAACTCTACATATAATGTTCTGGCACTGTTACGTGTATTAGAGGGTTTAAATCAGCTTTGTCCTCGTTTAAGAGCCCAAACTGTTTCTGATCGTTTCGCAGAGGGTAAAATTACAAGTCTAGATGATCTGAGTACAACTGCTGCTAAGGTTCCTCTTGAAGAATTTGTCAATAGCAAACTTACACCCAAATTAGCCCGACAAATCCAGGATGCGCTTGCTTTGTGCAGTGGAAGTCTTCCCTCTTGGTGCTACCAATTGACTAGAGCATGCCCTTTTTTGTTTCCGTTTCAAACCCGGAGACAGTACTTCTACTCAACTGCGTTTGGGTTGTCTCGTGCATTGAATCGTTTGCAGCAGCAGCAAGGTGCTGACGGCAGTGGGTCTACAAATGAACGAGAGATGAGAATAGGGAGATTGCAGCGCCAGAAAGTCCGAGTATCCCGAAATAGGATATTAGATTCTGCTGCCAAAGTTATGGAGATGTATTCTAGCCAAAAAGCTGTGCTTGAAGTAGAATATTTCGGTGAAGTTGGTACTGGTCTAGGCCCTACACTTGAGTTTTACACACTTCTAAGCCATGATCTGCAAAAGGTTTCTCTTGGGATGTGGAGATCAAATTCTGGTGACAAGGTTTCTATGCAAATTGATGGAGAGGAGATTGAAGACGGAAAGTCATCTGCAGCTAGGGACAGAGATATAGTTCAGGCCCCACTTGGGTTGTTTCCTCGACCTTGGCCCTCAACAGCTGACGTATCTGAAGGTGGTCAGTTTCATAAAGTCACTGAATATTTCCGCCTTTTAGGGCGTGTGATGGCCAAAGCACTTCAAGATGGACGGCTATTGGACGTCCCATTGAGTACTGCATTTTATAAGCTTATTCTTGGTCAAGTAAGTTTGTTACTAGAAGGTTTTTGTTTGGTTAAAAGTGAAATAATGGTTTCTACTTTTTTACTTCTGTTGGCATTCAAGTAATAATTTTTTCCTCTTTGAAGCAGGAGCTTGATTTGCATGATATCGTATTATTTGATGCTGAACTTGGTAAGACTTTGCAAGAGCTGCGTGTTCTTGTTGCCCGCAAGCACTATCTGGAGGCTGTAGGTGGGGACAATAACAGCACGGTTTCTGATCTATGTTTACGTGGATCCCGCATAGAAGATCTCTGCTTGGACTTCACGCTACCTGGCTATCCTGAGTACATTCTGAGACCTGGAGATGAAATTGTACTGTCTTAGCTTACAACCCCACCTCTTTCCTATTCGTGTATTACTTGTCCATGATTGCTGATGATTTGCTGTCTGTTACAGGTTGATATCACTAATCTTGAGGAGTATATTTCCCTTGTTGTTGATGCTACTGTCAAGAAAGGAGTCGCTCGGCAGATCGAAGCCTTCAGATCTGGATTTAATCAGGTTAGCAATCTCGCAGAGTTTAAGCATTGTCTCTTTCTTTGTCTGTTACATTTGGCTTCTACTTATATGTAGAAAAAAGTGGATTCTGTGGATTAGAGACTTCCGCTTTTTCTTTTTTTTTTTCAAGTCTGAACTCAAATTCTTACCTGCATTTGTATCCTTACAAAAACCTATCGTTTCTGAACATATTTATCAGGTGTTTGACATAACATCTCTACAAATATTCACCCCTTCTGAGCTGGATTACTTGCTCTGTGGTCGTAGAGAGTTGTGGGAGGTGATTTTTCACTTTTAAAGTTTCCCATAATAAAGACCCTTGAAACTATCATATCTAACATCTTATTTCCTTGCAGGCTGAGACTCTTGCTGAACATATCAAATTTGATCACGGGTATACTGCCAAAAGTCCAGCAATTATTAACGTATGTTACTTTTCTCCGTCTATTGAGTTGTTAGAAACCATGTCGTATTATACTTATACGTCTGAACTGATGTTTCCTTTGTGATTCTGATTTTCACACCATACTGTAGTTACTGGAGATCATGGGAGAACTTACAGCAGATCAGCAGAGGGCTTTCTGCCAGTTTGTTACTGGAGCTCCTAGGCTTCCTCCTGGTGGCTTAGCTGTTCTGAACCCAAAGCTCACGATTGTGAGAAAGGTAAGCTCACTTATTTGCGAGTGATTTTTGTAATTTAGGCAACCGGTCCCAAGTCAGGTTCAATTTTATCATATGTCAGAAGGCATCTATGTGTGGGCAAGGTCTTTTGCTCTTCTCTTTTTATATTTTTTTATTTGCATAGAGCAGACACGCATTGTGGTTTTTGTTTGTGTTGGAAAGAGTTTTTTCAGGTGAATTATGTGTTGCTGTCATGAAGTTGTTTAATTGATTTTCCATGCGATTCTAAAATTGCTGCGTCTTTCTGGCTGCTCAGCACTCATCGACATCAAGTGCAGCAGTCAATGGAGCAGGGGCTTTGGAGACAGCAGATGATGATTTGCCCAGTGTCATGACTTGCGCAAACTACCTTAAGCTCCCTCCTTATTCGACAAAGGTGAATCATGTCTCTTTGTATATTTCCCCTTGAGTCGATTTTACTGTGATTGTTGTTGGTGATGCTGACGAGTTGTATATTTCGAAACAGGAAATCATGTACAAGAAACTGCTCTACGCCATCAACGAAGGACAAGGATCGTTCGACCTCTCATAAGCAGCAGAAGGCGCTGTTTCCTTTCCCCTCTACCTGTACATTACTTGGGAAGACTGATTCTGATTCTCTGCCTGTTGGGTTTTGATGATATGACAAAAGCCGAAGATGCCCTAAAAGCCAGGTGACTGCTCTTGAAACCACCTCTGTCCTCCCGGAGACTTTGTAGCGGAGGGACATAGGATTGTGACTTGGTGATGTAAATTTTGTCTTTGCAGGCTCTGCAGAAGGCGCCATTACTGTGTAGATAAAGAAAGATGATAGGCTTATCTTTTCCATTTTCTCTTTTTTTTTTTTCTTAGAATTTATCATTTCCCCTCTGTAAGAGATCGATCACATCATTTCGGTCGAAACTATGGAAACAAGTTTGATTACGCATCAGCGAAAATTAGAAATATGGACGGCACTTTGAATATGTTATTTGAGTTATATAAAGTTTATAGCTTCATCATACAAGGTCGGTCCTGTTATATGTCAATTGGAAAAAGAGAAAAAAAAGAAGTTACTGGAAAAACATTTTTTAGTTTGTGATTTAACGCTAGGAAATAAAATTACGATATTAAATTTCGTCTAAGCATTAGTACAAACTGCAAAACTTGCGACTCTCACATCAAGCAATGTCCAGCTCTCATGGAAATCAAAGCAAATAATCCTAAGGAAAACAAAATATGATTCTGGTGTAAGGTAATAAAGTAAAGGTATCCTCACCACGAGCTATATAATTAATTGAACAGAAGTAAAACCACATGGACATGCACATGCAATAAGTACTAAAACCAAAAAAGAGATTAGACAAAAAAAAACTCAACGCAATGGACAAGCCTTTTTTACGTATCTTGATTTTTCTTCTTTGTATCTTTAACATCTTTGTTCTTTTTTTCCTCTTCCTCGTCCCCTTCTTCTTCTTCTTCCTCTTGCTCTTCATCGTCCTCTTCCTCTTCCTCTTCTGTCTTCTTCTTGCCATCTTTTTTTCCTTGTATCTTCTCACACTTGACCTGCACTGCCAGTGTCTTCACTATCTCCGGACACCCTTTGTCCTGAAAAGTCTCTCTGGCTACTAGTATGGAACAACGGTTCTTCCCCAAACACGTCTGTTCCATAAATATAACTCAATCAAATCAATAAACCAAACAGGACTCATGACTAAAATGCTTCAATCATCAGACATTACCTTCTCAACCACTTGCTTTGAGTTAGATGCAGAGCACTTCCCCATTGTGAAGTTCCCACAAGCTCCTGCCGGATCTCCGAAGCTTGCAAACTCGACCGCCACCATCTGTTTCCCCGGTGGACACTTCATCACCGCCTTCAACCTCATGTCTTTGCTTCTAGAAACTATCTTGGGCCCTTCTCTCTTCCAGGATTTCACAGAAACAGGGTAATCCTCCCCTACATAACTACAGATTGTGTCTCTATTCACCAAGACGAAATCAATAGCCTCTAACTTCACCCCAGGCTCTTCCTCGAGAATCACCAGCATGTTCTTCTTCTTCTTCTCCTTCATGAAAGATCTCGGAATGTGGTATCTGCCCACCATAGATAGGATTAGTCTCCAAGTGGCGCCTTTTTAAAAATATATTAATTTTTTTTTGTTTTGGGATTGTGTCGCACGCAAGTCATACTCAAAAAAAACATTGTCATACGTACTCAGTTTGAGTTGGCTCCCCGAGTTCAGAAAGGAAAGACATCCAGTATCTCCCTACGCCATTCCCATTCACCCAAATCAATCCCTTTCCCATTCCTTTCATCCTAATCGCGACAGTGTTCTCTTCCTCCGGTGTCTCAAAGTAGGTCTGCAAAACACATTGCCATTGATTAAAAGAGAGTAAAGACCACAACACAAATGTATAAAATTATTCATAAGCAAATTGAGTTTATATACAAGTATGTGTATGTGTGTGTGTGTTTACCTTGTACCATGTCAGCGGCTTACGTTCACCATCTCTCTCCCATTTCACCTTGTTAGATCCTTCCTCTGTGTACACCTCTTTCTTTTCACCTTCCAAACCGGCCTGCATTAACCGGATCCATTAAAACTTACACATTTTATCACAAAACCAAATAGTAAATAAAAATCCAAATTACCAAATGTCCCCATTCCATGTTCTCGGTTAAATCTCGCGTTCCCGACTTTAAACCGATGATCGAAACGGCACGGGGACCGGCATACCTGTGCTCCATGTATGATCCACTGTCCTGAAATTATTTTTACTTCCTTTTTAATTTTCAATCTTTTTGTTTTTGTGTGTAAAAATCACCATCTTTGACTGTTTCTAACTCACTGGTAATCCGGTAAGTACGCCCAAGATTGAAATGTGATTATCCCCGGTTTTGAGGTTAACCGGTTTTGCATACACGAAACTCTTCATTTCATGGCTTCCATGCGCATTCCCTACAAAATAGCATGGCAGCACATACACACATATATATATATATATATAGAAAATTACATACAAAATAAACGAAAAAACTCTCTCTTTGTAATTTAAAAGTACCTGCGTATTCTCCATTAACGTAAACGATCAGTGCGTGGCCAAGACTGGCTACTCTCAGTATTGTCTTCAGACCTTTTTGGTCTGGTAAGTGTTACTAAGAAACCTACGGTTCGATTGGATTATAAACTTGCAGAACTCACGATTGATGAACTCAAGAGAACTCGAATCAGCTCAAGAAAACGATTTAAGAACAGAAACGAGTAAGGGAGCACACGATGAGTTTGTTTACCCAGTTCGACAAGATCGATGTGATCAAGTCTACGTCTGGGGCCGAATCGATTCGGCAATCCACTATATCAAGGATGAGAATACAGAACAAGATAAGCTCTCAACAATGGCGTCTCACTCTCTCTCTGTTTACAAGATGAAAACGATAAAGAAGAAGAAGATGAGATTAGAGTATTTATATCAACACTCTGTTATAACGGCAAAACCTCTCTCGCGAAAAGCGGCTTCCTTTTGCTTCTTCAATTCCGGTTAAGAGACTCCAATTGAACCGGTAATCAATTCCCTTTTAACCAATGACTAAACCAGCCATAAGTTTGAATCAGAACCAACAACTCACAACACTCCACCTTGATTCAAACTTCATCATCCTCTAGCGAATTGCACTGCATGAATCTAACCTTCGGCGTAATGCTTCACCAAATTTTACCTGAGCAGCTTCAGAAACTCCAAGGCTGCTTCAAACTTGTGAACTGGTATGCCTTTTGTAAGCATATCCGCTGGATTCCTGGAAGTATGAATCTTTAAGACTTCAATCTCACCAGCTTCAATAATATCTCTGATGAAGTAATACTTAACTGCAATATGTTTAGTCCTCTCATGAAATGCATTATTCTTTGATAAGCATATAGCTGACTGAGAATCACACCAAACAGAAGCAGCTTCTGGTTTCAAACCCATATCTTCCAATAAGCCTCTAATCCACATTGCTTCTTTCACTGCTTCAGTAAGAGCAATATACTCGGCTTCTGTTGTTGACAAAGCAACAACTGACTGCAAGGTTGATTTCCAACTGACAGTGTTACCACCTACAGTGAAAACATAACCACTAATCGACCTTCTTTTATCCAGGTCTGCAGCATGATCTGAGTCACAATATCCATGAATATGGAAATCCTTTCCTTTAGTAAAGACCAAACTCAAATCTGTAGATCCTTTGAGGTATCTGAGCAACCATTTAACAGCTTCCCAGTGAAAGTGCCCAGGTCTTCCCATGAACCTACTTACCAATCCAATAGCATAAGCAACATCAGGTCTTGTACCAACCATCGCATACATTATACTACCAACTGCACTAGCATAAGGAACCAACTCTGTATCAACGAGTTCTTCATCATTCTTCACAGCTGCTAATTTGAAATGCGCACCAATAGGTGTACTCACATCTTTAGCTTGATCCATTCTGAATCTCTGTAAAACTTTTCCTACATAACCTGACTGAGACAGCCACAATGTATTCTCCTTTCTGTCTCGAATAATATCAATTCCCAAAATCCTGCTAGCTGCACCCATATCTTTCATCTCAAATTCTGAACTGAGATCATTCTTAATCTTCTTGATCTCTGTCATACTCTTTGCTGCAATCAACATATCATCAACATATAGCAGCAAGTAGACAAATTCACCAGAATGTACCTCCTTAACATATACACAAGAGTCATGCTCACTCTTGATGAACTGTTGTTTCATCATGAAAGCATTAAATCTCTTGTTCCACAGTCGAGGAGCCTGTTTCAAACCATACAGAGACTTCCTTAATAAGCAAACTTGATTTTTTTCTGAATTTACCTCAAAACCTTCTGGTTGTTCCATGTAAAGATCTTGATCAAGCTCACCATGAAGAAAAGCTGTCTTCACGTCCATCTGTTCTAATTCCATATCATCTTGAACAACTAACGACATAAGCACTCTGATGGATATGTGCTTGACTACTGGAGCAAACACCTCTTCATAATCAATTCCTTTCTTCTGTGTGAAGCCTCTAGCAACTAATCTAGCTTTAAACCTCTTAGCTTCCACACCCGGAATTCCAGGTTTCACTTTGAATATCCACCTGCAACTTATGATTGGCTGATCTTTAGGTCTGTCAACAATGTCCCATGTACCATTCTTGATCAAAGAACTCATTTCTTCAGACATTCCTGCATTCCATTTATCCCAATCTTTGTCTTTAACAGCATCATGATAGCACTGTGGTTCTTCTGAATCTGTTTCTTCAGCTGCCATCAGTGCAAATGCAAACTGTGAGTAATCAGAGAACTTAATAGGAGCAGTAATCACACGTCTAACTCTATCACGAGCTAACTGATAACTTTTTAAACTCCCACTACTTGCAGGTTCTTCTTCTTCAGGTTCATAGTATTCTGTTTCTGAATCACTTGAATCTGCTTGAATAACTCCACCTGCTTTAGAACTTTCTCCTTTAACTAACTCAACTGTACCAAGTTCAGTGTGAACCTTTTCTACCTCACTAGAACTTTGTTTCTCTTTCTCAGTCAGATCTTTTGCTTGAAGATCTTTGTAAACCATAGCTTCATGGAATGTAACATTCCTACTGATTACACACTTCATTTCTTTTAACAGCCACACCTTGTACCCTTTAGTACCTTGAGGATAACCAACGAATACTCCTTTTAATGCTCTTGGTTTTAACTTTCCTTGATCCTGATGCACATAAGCAATAGCACCAAATCTCCTCAAATGTTTATATCCAGGTTTTCTATTCAACCAAAGCTCCTCAGGTACATTGTGATCAACTGCTGATGAAGGTGACCTGTTGACAAGATATGCAGCAGTTGCTGCTGCTTCAGCCCAGAAAATCTCTTCTAGACCAGATTCATTCAGCAGGCACCTTACCTTTTCCATGAGAGTTCTATTCATTCTTTCTGCAACTCCATTTTGCTGTGGTGTATATGTACACGTCCTATGTCTCTCAATTCCATTCTGCTTACAGTATTCATCAAATCTGTTGTTACAGAACTCCAATCCATTATCTGTTCTAAGAACCTTGACTTTCTTTCCTATTTGATTCTCCACAAGTTCTTTCCATTCACAGAACCGATCAAACGTTTCATCTTTAGTCTTTAAGAACATAAGCCAAACCTTCCTAGTCTTATCATCAATAATGGATAAGAAATACTGTTTACCAGAGAGAGATGGGGTTACATTTGATGAGCCCCATAGGTCTGCATGAACGTATCCCAGAGCATCTTCTGTATTGTGCTTTCCCACATTGAAGCTTAGCTTCTTTGCCTTTCCCATTACACAGTGCTCACAGAAGAGCTGATCTTTGACATCTTTCTTTTGAAGCAAACCTTTACCAGCTAAAACCTTCATGTTGTTTGTGCTCATATGACCAAGCCGGCTGTGCCACAGGACTGCATTATCAATACTACTTTCCACATTACAATTCTCTGTAGTAATCGTTTCACCATCAAGAACATACAACCCATTTACCAAACTTCCAGACAAAGCTGTTGCATTATTCTTGAAGTACCTGACCTTTCCATCTCCACCTTCATGTCTGTATCCTAACTTGTCAAGAGTACCTGTTGAAATAAGGTTTCTTCTCAGGTTAGGAACATATTTCACATTATTCAGCACCTTAATAGACCCTCCCTTAGTGTTAACTAGGATTGATCCCTGTCCTTGAGATTCTACTGAATGATTGTCACCAAGTAGAATTGTTGTGGACTCTTTATCTTCAAAACTGCTAAACCAATCTCTCCTAGATGTCATGTGAGAAGTACATCCTGAATCCAAAATCCACAAATCTTTAACCAACTGATCATTTACACTCAAAGCTTCTGAGAAAATCAGTTTTTCTGTCATGACTCCAGCTTCATTTTGACCCTCACTCTCCATCTTTCTTTTCCTGGCATAGCAATCTTTCTTCAGGTGCCCTTCCTTTTTGCAGAACCAGCAAGTGACCTTTGATTTTGAGGCTGATCTGCTTCTGCTCTTTCCTCTTGACCCATTCTGTTGACTCCTTGCCTGTGGTCTTCCTCTTTCTGTTGTATATAGTGCAGCAGGTTGAGATCTCTCAGGTTCTTTGGACTCAGCAAGTTCACGTTCCAAAGATTTTGCAGATGAAACAACATCTTGAAGTGACAGAGTCTTGTTGCCATATTTAAGCGTATGCTTCAATTGACTATAGCTAGCTGGAAGTGAGTTGAGTAACAAGATTGCTTGAACTTCTTCTGCAACCTGAATTTCTAAACTTCCTAACTCTGCAACTATCCTCAAGAAATCATCCACATTCTGATCAATTGTCTGAGTTTCAACCATCTTGAAAGAGTAAAAGTTCAACTGAACATAGATCCTGTTAGGTAACGAGGTTTCCATGTAAAGCTTGTTCAACAACGACCACATCTCAGCTGCAGTCACACAATGATTTACCTTTCTCAAGACTTTATCGCCAATATGATTTATGATAATGTTCAAGGCATGTTCCGATTGATCAATCTTGACCGGATCTGGAACCTCCTTGGTCAATGGCAATGAAGGATCTAGACCTTCTTCAGTCGATACTTTCTTTTCTTCACTTTTGGTCAAGGGAACAGTCTTCGTCATGGAGAAGTCGGTGAGAGTGTTCTTTAAACCCAGAACTCCGAGCTGCGCCATGATTCTGATCTTCCAGAGAGAGAAATCGGTTTCTCCATTGAATGCCTTGATTTCGACTCGCGCTGTTGTAGCCATCGATCGAAGATGAGATTGAACCAGTGAACCTGGCTCTGATACCACTTGTTACTAAGAAACCTACGGTTCGATTGGATTATAAACTTGCAGAACTCACGATTGATGAACTCAAGAGAACTCGAATCAGCTCAAGAAAACGATTTAAGAACAGAAACGAGTAAGGGAGCACACGATGAGTTTGTTTACCCAGTTCGACAAGATCGATGTGATCAAGTCTACGTCTGGGGCCGAATCGATTCGGCAATCCACTATATCAAGGATGAGAATACAGAACAAGATAAGCTCTCAACAATGGCGTCTCACTCTCTCTCTGTTTACAAGATGAAAACGATAAAGAAGAAGAAGATGAGATTAGAGTATTTATATCAACACTCTGTTATAACGGCAAAACCTCTCTCGCGAAAAGCGGCTTCCTTTTGCTTCTTCAATTCCGGTTAAGAGACTCCAATTGAACCGGTAATCAATTCCCTTTTAACCAATGACTAAACCAGCCATAAGTTTGAATCAGAACCAACAACTCACAACAGTAAGTCATCTTCTTTAATATTTACGCTGCAGCCATTGAATCAACAACGATCACAAACAACGAAGCCTCTCTGTAATAATAAAATGTGTTGTTGCCTGTGAAAGAAGTTACCTGGTGGTATACCAAGCATAGTCTGTTTTGTCCTTAGTTAAGTAGTAGAGCTCCCCCGGGATCAAGGACTCACCGTCGATTTTCGAAGGAATCTTTTCACTAAACATCTCAAACTTGAGACCTTTGCTCGTCTTCTCTGACTTTACAAAATTTCTCCAACTGTGTTGCGCCACAATCTGTTTTTTTTCAGAACATGAATACGGATCTTATAAATATTCAAACAATTCTTGTTTTTTTCTATACCAACAATCGAACCGGTTCTTTCGGGCTTACTTGTGCAGTATTGTACACGACGGTTTTACAATCTGGTAAGATGCTGATAGAACGAGACGGTAACACGTAATCTTGACCTTTGAATTTAATCGTATTAGATTCTCTTGTGTTATTGTTCGATAAGAAAGCCGCACACACTTTTGTCCCTGGCTGTTCGTGGTACCTAACCTGCAGTACCAAAACTTGGATCGTTAAGCTCTGGTTTACCAATACCGGATACAGATGACTTGGTTCAGGTAAGTGGTAACCTCGGTGTCGGGACCAAGTTTCTGGACGTGATGGTGACCCCAGAAAAGTGCCTTCTTGCACAATTTTAGAGCTCTGTGCACATCTTTCAGGTGGCCGTATTTTGGCTCTTTCTCCAAACCTACAAATTAACCAACAGCTTCTGATTACGATTCCAAGCGGGCCATGGTTTAGCTTGTTGGTGTTTGGGGATCTACCGTATTCGTCAAGTGGTGCGTCGTCATAGTAACGAGTGGTAACGAAATGAGCAGACGTGCGTCCGAAGTTTGTCCCACCATGGTACTGCACAGAAACAGAGCTCAATATATATATATATGTAATTCTAAAACATGATGTAAACGTACCATGTAGTAGTTGACATGAGATCCGTTCTTAGAGAAGTATCTAGCGACCGAGAATGCTATATCTTTGACTGTTCTATATGTTGGAGGATCCCCAAATACTCGAAACCTAAGAATAAAAGAATCCAACGTAAGATTATAGTTTGTGCTGATGAGAGTTTGATGTGTGGAGAGCATACTGAGTAGTCCAGTTCTCGGTCCACAAGGAGGGCTTATCGTGTCTGTTTGGTCCCTGGAAAGTATCTCCGCAGTGCCTTCCATTACAAGCATTAATCACATTGCCAGGAGCATCGTTTTGTTTGCACATAACCCAGGGGATTCCTAAATTCATTGACTCCACCAAATTTGCTGCCCATTTTATATATCTTTCTCCATTCTCCTTGTAGGCTAGCTGAACCGCATTATACTCGTTCTCTATCTGTCGTTTATTTATGTGTAGTTAGAGATCATATCAATGTTTACGGGTTCGGATGGATGAATGTACCTGTCCCAAGACGATGGGACCTCCTTGTGAAGCAAACAACTTCTCTTGTTTCATCATCCCAAGTATTTTCCTCACATATCTCTCTGTGTGCTCCTTCATTTATCCATTCGGTCTAGTGATCAGATATTGTGTGACAGCTATAGGATTACGTACTACAAACTGTTGTTAGAATTTTACCTTGAAAGGCTCATTATCTGTACGGAAGTAAACCTCTGGGACCTCCCGTAGCCAGTACGGCAAGCCTCTGGAATATGAGTTTTAGTTAGCATATTTCTATATACCTATATTCTTGGGTTTGAATCTTTCGTACCCGTGGTTCCATTCGGCTTGGATAAAGGGTCCGAGCCTGAGAGTGACGTAGAGACCTTTCTCGTGGATTAGTTTAATGAATTTCACCAAGTCGAACCTCCCACTGAAATCATACTGAAACCCACAATGTATGTATAAACCATTGAAGGCAAATGAGCAGAAAAGAAAAGAAAAAAAATATGAATTTTTTCACTATTCCGAGATAAGAGAGAACTTAAAGTTGATATACGTACGTACCTTGCCTTGTTCAGGCTCATGTACATTCCAGAACACATAAGTTTGGATGGAGTTAAGACCCCCAGTTTTAGCTTTGTCAATAATACTGGGCCACATCTGCAACAAACAAATTAAAACAAGATCCATGAAGTATATTAATCATCTTCTTGATTTGATAGGGTGTGGTGTGTGATAAACAAAGGGAGTAGAAGTGAAGTGATTGCCTCAGGTGTGCTCCGAGGGTAATGAACAGAACCAGAGAAAAGAAGCTCTCTTTTCCCATTTATGATCAAGGAAGTTTCGTCGTATGTTACTCCTTTATGAGGAGCATCGTCTCCTCGGCCAAGGCTTGCCTTGAAACAGAGTGAAATGACAAGTAGAAGAGCTATCAAGCATCGTGTTCTTGACTTCATTCTGATTCCACTTGTTGGTTGTTCGTTCACCAACACGGATATTGATTGAAATTAACTTTTCTTTTTTGTAATTATATGTTGATCCCCTGTGTTTGAGGATTTCCAAGGTCAAAGAGGGAAGCTCGGAATCCTTTTGTCTCAACTATTCTTCATTAATTCTCTCTATTTTTATTTTTTGTTAAAAGAAAGTATTTAGTGTTTTTATTGGTTCTCTTCTAATTAGCTATAGCTCGATCCGCATTTGAAGCCTTCTTCACACAATTGCCAACCATAGGATACAAATCATTTGATTGCGAAAACATACACAACATTAATGTGTCTTTAATTTAATTTGGAGGAGGAAGAAGAAGAAGCATATTTTACGAGCTATATATAAATAGTAGAATTAATATACAAATTAAACAAGACAGCACAAATGTTTTAATGAAATCCATAAGAAAGTGAAACGAGCGGTACGTACAACAAAATTAACATATATATTAAAATCATCACATGACAACACAAGCGGCGGGGTTCTCGTCGCTAAAAGCAGTAGTGTAGCGGACCTCGGTGGAGCTAGCGCGAGCGAGCTGAGAGACGCCAGGGTCATCAGCTCGGCGGACATAACCGGAAGGTGCCTTCTTGTCGTAGACGCCGGCAGCGTAAGGGTGAGCGACCACGTCGTAGGGGACGTAGGGCCAGAGCTCGACCTTCTTGCCGGTGCGGTGAGCCATGCGAGCGACCACCTTGTTTGGGTCGACGTAGCCGACAACGGTGACCTTATGGGATTTGGGCTCCAAAGTCACAGAGGAGACACCCTTCATGCCTTCCACCGAGCGCCGCACTTTGCGCTCGCAACCTTCGCAGTCCATCTTCACTTTGATCTCCACCGTCTATTCTCATCCACACACATACATATATAGCGCAAACCAAAAACGACAAACAAAATTAATCTACAATTCACAGACAAAATTAATAGTTAAATTGTCGACAATCATATATACTAGAAGTATACTACTAAATTGTGTGTGGTAGATTTGTAATAAATAGAGAGAGAATTCACGTGCTTAAGCCGAAAATCAATGATTTCTATATAAGTGATGACAAATGAAGAATAGAAATTAAACACACTAATCCCGCCTCCCGGTGTGAAATCTAACAGATGGATCATGTATGACTGACTAATCTCTTTTGTTTATTCCAGATGAAAAGAATCTATTTGGTCGGTCGGCGTTAGGAACACTACTACTTTAATTAAGTGTGTGTATCTACAGTATATTATTAACTCAAAAGACAAAGGAACCACTTCAATCGAATTATATATATTTTGTTTGTACACCGCCAATTTGAAGGGAATATACCTACGTAATTAAAGATCTGAACTAGTTAAAGGAAGCAAACAAGGTAGAGTAATTTCATCTTATTACTAACCTAACACTAACACACTCGAGACTTGCTAATGGTCTTCTTTTTTATATATATATATATAAAAAGAAATGGGACTAATTAAACTAGATCTAGTAACTTAAAACTGAAAAGAATTTTCCTTGTTGTAACTATACATCGAAGCTTAGTTTCTCTAGTACCAGACTCATCAAATCACTTCTTTTGTTAGTCTAACAAAAAAAACTTATGCTTGTTCTTGCAAATCAAGATCTACAAAAGAAACTTGTTAATTAAGCTGAATCTTATGGTCGTGATGAGTTCTCAAAATTATAAATAAAATACAAAAAAAGAAAGAGAAAGGAAGGTGGGAGAACCTGGAGCTGTTTGCGCTTTTTAATCTTGTGGCCATGAGAGCAGTCAAACATATCAGAGACATGATCAAGAACACCCATTTTTATATAATATAGATTGTGAGATATCTAAAGAACGAACACTGGAGGAGGTAGCGAGTAATTAAAAAGAAAAAAAAGAAGAAGGAAACTTTCTCTAGGAGAAGGGAGAGAGTAGCGAGAGAGAGAGAGAGAGAGGGAGAACCGGTAAGTAAAAAGAGGCAAAGGGAAAGTGAGGTGGTGTTAAAATGATGATGATGATGAATTGGAAGATAATTGAACATATAAAGACATATCCTATTATTATTATTATTATTATTATTATTAGTTTAATAAATAAGTAGTAATAAATAGTAATAATAAAATATCTCACAACAACTCAAGTCACTCCATTCCAAAAATCAAAGAAAATGAAGTGAAAGTGGATTTGGGATGGGTTCCCCTTTTTCTCTTCTGGCTCCCAGCAGCAGTTTCCTAGTCTCCCCTCCCCCTTCTCTCTTGAATGAATCTTCCTCCTCCCTCCTCCCTTTTTTTTAATGACAAGTGAAAAGACCCGCGCTGTGATTGATGAGTTGATGACTGATCGATCTTGGGCTATATTTGTTCTGCTGCTCTACTTTTCTAAGAAAATACTCACAAATATACTTCACTATAATAATGTTTTACAAAAAATAAAAATATTATTTGTATGGGGGGAAACAGAAGATGGAAGGAGTACATTTATCGTCGGGAGAATCGATGATGACTCGCTCTGCTATTCACACCACCGACCGACGTACGTACCGACCTTTCTTTATTATTATTATTTTATTTTAATATCATTACCATCGCTTTGACGTTTGGGCTGGGCCATGAATGAATCTTTGTTATGGCCCAATCCCTTGCAGCATGCAAAGATAAGAAATAATAATAAATCCCAACCTTTGGAGTACCCACACCCAATCCCGAATTCTATCTGCAAGAGTCAATAGATAGGAGGAGTTGGAGAATGGAAGGGATGTGGACACTTGCTGAGCCTGAGAGGTGTGGTCTCTTTTGTACTTTTGTAGAAAGGGGGACAGATTTGGAGAATATTTAATGGGACAAATAAACACGTACGTTTGCTCCCTCCTCTCCTGAGAAGAGGCCAAGATTCTGTTTTCCATTTGCTTCTTTTGATTTTTCCACTTGCGTCTCTGGAAATCAAACTGACCTTCTATTTGGTGTGTTCACGTCTTTACCGGAGATGTCTATATGCATTCCCCTTGTTGTGCAGGTGCTTCCTTCATTGGTGATATCTTCTTTTCCCTACAACAGATTGCATAAGTCAAGTCTCTCTCTCTCTTATGGCGGCTAATAAGGCAAAGCAGAGACCGGCAAAGCTTTCAGTCTACCTTTACATTCCCAATCTCGTTGGTCCGTGTTTTTTTTCCTGTTTAAAGATGTCAATCTTTCTTTCTATTGAAACCATATGACTAGGGGGCTTTTACTTTTGATGTTACTGTTACATGCAAAATGCCAGGCTACCTGAGAGTTCTCTTGAACTGCATTGCCTTTTCCAACAAGACACTCTTCTCGCTCTTGTACTTTTTCAGGTCAGATTATCCTTTTCATACCAACCTAACCTCATCTTCTTCTCCTCTCTTTCTGTGTGTCTGCTACTTGTTTCATATCCAATGTGCTTTTTTCCAGTTTTTGTTGTGATGCTGTCGATGGATGGTGCGCTCGTAAATTCAACCAAGGTGCTCTTATCATTCTCCCCATCTCATTCTTAGCCCATTATTGCTTCTTCTCTTTTTTTTTTCGTTCCTGTATGATCTTGACATTTATCAAGAATATGGAACTCCAGTGTTGCTTGTGTTGGGTTTCAACGTAGTAGTATTTTGTTATTGATCTATAGTTTTGCACGCAGAAACACTTTACTGTTGTTCTACAGTACTAAAAACGATAGAGATTGATATTGACACACATCTCTTTTCTTCTTCCCCATGCAGTCTCTACATTTGGAGCTGTTCTGGACATGGTTACAGATAGGTGAATCTTCCGCTAGATTCAACCTGCTTATTCTTTTGAATTTATATAACATTTTATCATAACATTTGGGGTCTGTGCTTGGATACAGAGTCAGCACAGCCTGTCTTCTCGTGATTCTCTCCCAAATATACAAGTGTGGATATTATCTACAACTGCCGTTTCTCATAACGTTTTATACTTAAATCCTATGTTTAACACAGTCTTGGACTTTCATAACTATAAACAGGCCTAGCTTGGTTTTCCTGTCATTGCTGGCTTTAGATATCGCTAGTCACTGGCTCCAAATGTATAGGTACGCTTTGTTGCAACTTAAACTCTTCTTTCAACTTGTATTCTTCTTGGACATACCAAAGCAGGAAATTAATACTTGATTCACAGTACATTTCTTTCAGGGAAGACCAGCCATAAGGATGTGAAAGATAGCACAAGCTGGCTCTGTAGACTCTACTATGGAAACCGGATGCTCATGGGTTATTGCTGTGTTTCCTGCGAGGTAATTGGATACATTTATATCTGAGCTAGATAAAATTTTTGGATGCATTTCTTTTGGGAGACACTGACTTTTCTCAACTGACTACAGGTTCTTTATATTATCCTTCTTCTCATAGCAAAGAAGCAAACGGAAGACCTGATGAACGTGAGAGCTTCTCTTCTATTATCTTCCCCTTTTATCTCTTAAGCTTATCTTCTGCTCTAATCTTGTGGGTTCCAAATGTTTTCATTCTTCAGGTGGTAGTTGAATCATTGACGCAAATTTCACCACTCTCTATACTCTTAACTTTGAACATATTTGGCTGGTTGATCAAGCAGATCATCAATGTGATTCAGGTAAGTCTGATCCAGAAATATTCAATCCCTTCAATAGAGTAGGCGGTTCTTATCTGTTTTTTCGTTTTTTTTTTTGTTTTTTTTCTGTGGACGCGTGTGTCAGATGAAAACGGCTGCAGATGTTTGTGTTTTGTATGACATAGAGAAACATCATAAGGCTTAACCTATTGTGCTCTTTGAATTGTCTCGTGTTTAACTCTTTTGTACGAGAATTTGTGTACATAAGAATCCATCTTGTTTAGTGGTGGATGTAGATATAAAACTCTGGTCTTTGTTTTCTATGAGATTAAAGATACTTGATTGCAACCTTGAATCCATTCACTCTTTTCTCAGAAATTTATACATTGCTTTGCTTGTCAACTAACAATCTCTACGTTGAAGCCTTGTTCCTCCTATTCTTCATTCAATAAAAACGAGCTTTTTGTTCACCGCTGAACCTTGCCTTGTGGTTTTATTAATCCTTTCTAATCTATATAGTATTTCTATATCTATATATCATTTGGGGGATAAATTGTAAGAAATTTTTCTCAATCTCACAAATTTAATATAGAAAAAGTAAAGAAATAAATTCGTAAATTGAATAAAAAAATATACAGTTAGAAGATTATAATCAATTTCCACTAGAAATGTTATTTAACAATGTTAATTATTTTAAGTTTTTATTTCCCCGTGCGACAACGCACGGGCTGACATCCCTAGTAATACTAAAAGCAAAATACACAGTTATAGATGGATAATCTTGAAGCAAAGGTGAAAACTGTTCTGTAGATGAGAAGAATCACAATCTTTTCACTACGCTCTACCATCCTTCTTGCTCACGGGACAAGGCTTCCGCAATCGAAATGAGACTTTTTCAACAGCATCCGAGAAAGGAAAGACGACAAGAACCTGTCTCTGAACAGGTTCATCCACTTCCCTCTGCTCTGCTGTATGAGACCTACTGTATATGCCGTTGTTATCAGATCAATGCTTCTCCATTTCCTTTCTCCTGCATACTTCTTCAAGCCTTCTTCAATCCGCTTATAACTATCTTCTTCTTCTTCTTCTTCTTTTGTTTCACTTTTCAGATGCTTAGCTTTTATAGCTTCGCCAAGACAACGAGCGAGGATAACTCCATCTTCCATGGCTGAGCAACCGCCTTGTCCGATATCAGGAGTCATCGGGTGAAGCGCATCCCCTGCAACGCATACGTTGTCTTTTGTGATGTTTGACCATAGGAGTTCCCAAGGAGGTCGGTACTTCAGTCGAGACATCACCATGCTATCAAGATCAGTGGTCTCCACGACACTCTTAATGTTTTCAGGTAAGTCTTTGATCTTGTTCAGCACAAACTCTTTCAAAATTTCCGGATTTGTCTCCTCGTCTACCAAGCGCAAGGAGAAGAGTCAATAACAGTAGAAAATATGAACAACAACTTGTAGATGAAAGGTAAAGTTCCAGTTACCTATATCAGTGGAGGTGTGGGTTAGGAACCAGTAGACAGTGTTGTGGTCACAGGGGATAAAACCCGAACGAACACCGTTTCCATAGAACTGGAAGAACTTCTTTCCAAATCCATGGCCTAACGGGAAATGTGTAAGCCCTCGGATCGCTAACCTTGCAGTTGTAGCCGGAGTTTTGAAGCCTAGCCACTTACCAACCACTGAATACACTCCGTCGCACCCTACCAAAACCTGAATGTCGTTTAGAAACACTAGAATATCCGTAGCATGACCAGGCCTGAGATGGTCTACAGAGGACATGAAGTTTAGTTACTACCTTGGTTTTGAGAATGGTCCCGTCAGAGAGATGAACCATCTTGTAGTGTCCAGACAATTCGATATGAACAACCTTAGACGAAAACCTTATGGTCTCCTCAGGCAACTCAGCTGCTAGGGCCTCTAACAACAGCTTCCTCTGTACGCATCGAGACTCATATTCTCTGACACAAGATAATTGAAATTTTTTCTTACTTACTGTGTAGAATCATATGTTTTGTGCAAGAGAAGAAGAAGAAGCATACTCGGATTCTGGAAACAGCATCTCTTTACAAGGATTGCCCGCAGAAATGGGTCCAACCACCCATCTGTATCAAGATCAAGTAATGAGTTCCCTAGTTGATATGAAAATACTAATAATAGTGTCAGTTTGATACCCTTGGAGGCGATCATGGAGACTACGAACATGCTGAGAAACGCCAAGAGCTTCCATGGCCTTCCAAGCATTGAACCAAGTGGTAAAGGCGAATCCTGTCGCTCTCAGTTTCTCCGAAGATTCCAGCACCAGGCTTCTGATCCCAAGCCTGTGACACACACCACTTTTGTTAACTTACTCTGCTTAATAATAATAACTCAGACGGCATAGACACACACCTATGGAGCCCAACTGCCGTGGAAAGGCCAGAGATTCCGGCGCCCACGATGACGATATCTAAAGTACCTTCTTCTTCCATTAGAAACTAGTATGAAAAGCTCTGCTTGTTTCTTCCTCTCTTATATATTTTTTTTTATTATTTTAAGTAAAGAAGTGGAAGATGGGCAAGTCAAACAAGGCACCGCCCATTCTAGGCAGGCGGCTATATAATAACATATCGAATTGAATCTTGTATAGTTTTATGGAGTTATTATACGTACTTTTTTATCCCCTGCCAGAAAAAAACTCACATTCTAAATTTATATAATCTTATAAAACACACACTGCTTTGCTTGTTTGAAGATATCAAAATTCAACGAAACGTATAAGGAGGGTCAAAGGCGAAGCTGACGAGAAGCCTCGTGTTTTTGTAAGCTTTGCCTGCTCCATCGTGAAGCCGGACTGCTCTAACTCCGGACTTTAATTCCGGCAGAGGAAGACACGTCTGCCCCGCGAAATCATTCTGTGTGTCATTGTCGTAGTCTTGCACTTTGAACCACAGAAGCGCCAATTCTGGAACAGAGACCTGAAACAGGAACTCATCGTTGCTCCATGTAGGAAACCACTGATCGACAGCCGTTTCTGTTCTGTAAGAGACCGTGTCTCTGGCTACTCCTGCAATTCCAGTCTGAAGTGCAACACACAATTACTCTGAATGGGTCAGGATCAAGAAGGTGTAGTTTAAATGTGGTTCTTGTTTACCTTTACGAAGAAATCTGGAGGAGAGTATTGATCAAAGTGTGTCTGAGGGAAATCCAAATCCCATCCTTCGCCAGTGTAAATCTTCACCTTGAGAGTGGTCTTTATGGGAAGCCTTTTGCTAGGGTCGAAGAGTGTGTTCTCTTTTAGCAAGATGGCAGGCTTTTTAACGTACCCACATCCACCATTCGCCCTGAACATTCCTTGCATCATCCATAGTTGCTTCCCATGTCCCTTTCCAACATTAAAATATTAACCATTTTTATTACAAGTATCTCAAACGGTGTACATACATGATGAGCCACTTCCACTTACTTGCATGTTAAATGCAACCAACTGGGCACCGTGTGTCCACCCAACTAGAGGATCATAGTTTGACGAGTCCACTCTTGTACCCTTTGGATATATCCTCACCAGATTCCTCTGTGTAAACCTGTTTTGTTTTTAATTTATCCAACTTCGATCAAAGGTTCAACATGTACTTGACTCATCTCATCCCGCTGTATATTTTGTTACTTTACCTTACAACATCCGTTCCTCTGGTTTTAACCATAGTCTCAAGCCACTGTTCGTCCATGCTAATCCTTCGAGGCTTCTCTGGATCATCACTCAAACAATCCTTCAAAGGGTTTTTGCAGTTTCCAGCCTGAATTGCGATCAAATCTTTATATCCCACAGCTTCACTCTCCAATTCTTCTTCTTCAAGAATCTTGTTTTCTCTTCTCCATGCCATGTTATTACTCTGCCACAACAGAGAAAATATATGAATGTTTGCAAAACCATTCCCATTTCGCGGTTAGATCAATTCTTCTCACACTTGCTGGTATGCTCCAAGAAGTCTCTTTAACCATTGGAGTTCTTGTGGTCTGTACAGTTTGGCTCTCAAGATACTCCTTTGGAGGCTTCGTTGAGATCAGAATCTTCTTCTTAAGCTCTTCTGGTGATGGAAAATGCTTACGATTCTCTGATCCACAACGAAACAGCATCTCTCTGAATGTTTTGGTTAACATCTACAAACATAATATTATCAGTTAAATTAGTAATAAGTAACTTTTTCTCAAATTAGGAAATATATACTCTGTTCTGCAAAAGCATATCACCTTAGCAACTTGCCCTTGAAGCTTGGGAGGTAAATGATCTTCGAGAGTGATGATGACTGGATAGTCAGACACGTGAAACGCGTTATCCTTAATGGCGTTCAGACATTTCTGCAGATCTTCATGCGATGTAAGTGTCCTGATGAGAGAACCAAAAAGATGAGAAACTCTGTTTTTTTTTTTTTTAATAACTTGGAGTCTGTGGATTAGAGGGACCAACCCGCCATGACGAACTTCAGCAGCGTTCCCTGAAGGATTAGGCCATAAGTCGAGCTCGATCACCTTTACGCCTTTTCTGAGAGCATGCACGATCGGTTCTACGCTGCTTCTGCTGTTCACTTGGTTCCCGGTCAAGTAAGAGTTGTGTCCCGTGTACACAAAGTAATGCGCTAGCGGGGCCTTCATGTCATGATGGACCTTAACCCAATCAAGAGCTCCATATATTATTAGTTATATGTATATATATATGTATATATATTAAAAAGAAGAAGAAGAAAAAAAGATTCAAAAAGTTACGAGGCCAGGCAAGGGAAGAGGAGAGTTGGTATCGCTGAAGAGGTAGCGATAGAAGGCGTCGAGATGAAAAAGTCCGTGATGATGAAAAACGTTGTGAGGTTTAACGCTGTGGAAGATACCCTGCACGTAGTCCAAGCCAGCGTGGCGTTCTCCTTGGACATCACTCAGGAATCTTAGAATCTCTTGGGAAGACATCTTGCCGTTTCTTGAGTAAGCTTCGAAGAGTCTCTTGATGCTCACCGGTGGCTGCCTCGTTTTCGCCTTGAAGCTTCTGCTACAACAGAAGCACACTTTGAAACTCTCCGACATTTGTTGCTTCTTTTTTTTTTTTTTTTGTCAAGTTCTGATGAGAAACATACACAAACATAGTGAGCGTATATGATATGCTGTGAAAGTGATGAAGAATATATGCTCGTGTCATCATCATCAGCAGCAGCATCATCATCATCTCAAGGAACGTGTCTCGATCGCTCTTCCATTGAATAAATTAATTATACTTATTATAAGGAAAAGCAAACTTGTTTATGCATGGCTACTAATTAAAACCTTTTTATAAGAGGGATCAAATACACATATTGATGCATGGGTCCGATGAAAACATAAAGGACCAGTAGACATCTCTATATTGTCACGTCTTTTCTAATGGGAGGGGGATATATGCTAACTACTACTGCCTTTTTGAGGTGCCAATTAAAGAGAGCACTCATAGTAGCATCAAATCTTTTATTTTGTGTATTCTTTTTTTTTTTTTTTTTTTGTTCTGTGAGATTATATATATAATAGGGAGAAAAGTGAAGGTATTGAGAGATGATTGGATAATGAAGTTGGTCCAGAAGTGAGAGAGAGAGAGGTTGGATTTTTATGTGTGATTGATGGATGGAAGCTATAATATATGTTCTGTAAGTAGGGACCCTTCTCCACAGTCCACAGCACCCCGACCTATTTTATTAGTGATCATTATTATTTTATTTTATTTTTTTGGTATTTTTCTCTAATGTAAAGTTCACACAACATTATACATAATTTACTTCACTACAGGGGTTATCGGGCGAGTTATCAGATAGCTAGATTACGGAATATCCACAATCTCATGGAGTGTACTGTAATTCTATTTGTTGAGAAATTTGTATTTTTTTTAATTTTTCAAAAGGGGTTTTGCATGCATCAATTTTGGACTAGGCAAAGTTAAAGAATATATAGAACATTGAAAAAATTATGATCGTGGACTTATTCATGTTTTAGAAACAAATCTTTTTTTTTTATAGAAAAATAGTTAATTTAAAGTTGGGTGAGTCTATTTCCCTTCTTATGGAGCTGAAATATCAAAAACGAGGTGCTTCTTCTTCTATTATTGGTACTACAAAAGTATTTAAATAAACTACAAAAGAAAAAAGAGAGAGAGAGTCGATGGTGGAGAAAGGGCCAAATTTTTAGTGGTACATATACAATTAATATGAAAAATTAAATAATGTTAGGTAAAGTGACATATCTCACTTTATCCCTATCACTTTCACCGGCCCCAAAATCTTTTATTTTTTCGTTATATAACTTAAAAACATTTGTTTATCTTATTAAAAAAATTAATTCGTCAAGCCAAAGCCTCTCTCTTCTCTCTTTTTATTAACTCTGTACTAATTAATACATATATAAAAATCTCAGGGTCTTGGACCACCACTTTGATGGGCATTAAACGTTTGATACAAATTGTATGTGGGGGGGGGGGGGGGAGAAAAAAGAAAAAGGAAAATATGAAAGATTCATGAATCCACATAATATTATTTGTAGACTGGTACGTACATGATGATCTTCTTTTATACCACTACAGTGTATATATATATATATATATATATTCTCTCCGCCTTAAAATCCTGATTATAATAGTATAACAAAACAAACAGCCAAACAGGAAGAAACAAGAAAAAAGAAAAAGGAAAATATGAAAGATTCATGAATCCACATAATATTATTTGTAGACTGGTACGTACATGATGATCTTCTTTTATACCACTACAGTGTATATATATATATATATATATATATTCTCTCCGCCTTAAAATCCTGATTATAATAGTATAACAAAACAAACAGCCAAACAGGAAGAAACAAAACGTGTGAGTAAAACTGTAAAAGTAAGTAAAGCAAGCAAATATGAATGAATGAATGGATAAGTTGTTTAGAAGAAAAAGTATTATCTTTCAGTTAAATATGATACGGGTATAGCTAATGTAAACAAACAGTTTGAATATTATATAATGTGTGATTTTCTATTAATTAATTACGAATATCAGAAGAGAAGACTGAGAATAATTATATATATATATATATATGTCAACAATAGTTTCTTTCTCTATATAGTTGTCTAAATTCGTGAGCAATAATAATAATAAGGGAAACTAGTGTGTGTGTGTGTGAATCTAGGGAGAGGAATGGAGCCCAAAGCTGGGACCATTGATGTGCTGGCTCGGACCTCTCCATCGTTGGTCTTTTATGGGTCTTGTCTCCTACGCTATTTATAAGCTACAAGAAAAGAAGATGAAGATTCACTAAAAGAGTACTACATAATAGACATTATCGGCGCGCGTTCGAGACTCTCTATCTCTATTACAAGTATAATATTATTAGCAAAAATCACTTATATATATATATATATATATATATATATATATATTGGGGGTATTTAATTTGCCGGTCCACCATTATTGGTCATAGCTTTGTAAGCCAAATACAAAAAGAGAGAAGTCTCAGTTATAAAAACTCTTCAATTGATCCACTGTTTACGTGCGCGACATCCTAAGTTGAAGTTTGTGTGAGACTTGTTTCAGATACATAAGATAGAGCTTCTTTTTTGTCAATCGGTCGTCTTTCTTCTTCTTCATCCGCTCGGTTCATAAATAAACCCTTTTTTTTTTTTTAATTTTATTAATTAATAAAAGACCTACTAAAATATGGGTGTGATGGAGAAATAGTACATTTTTGAAACTTAATTATAAAACTAGTACAATCACTATTTACAATTAGGAAACTAGTACATTATCACTATTTGCTACTATTTTGTTAACCTTTAAGCACTCAAAAAACATATTATTTACAAGTATGCCATTAGAATAATTATATAATGATTATATAATATAATTCGTACATCATATTTTATGTACAGAAGTGTAAAAACATATATTTGTACAATAATAAAAATATTACACAATAACATCCATACAACATATTAGTGTACGAATATGTACATAAATATGCATAAATTCATATATCATAGTAGTTGTACAGATAAAAATGTGTAATTTTTTATACATGCGTACATATAGTAAGCTGTACGGGGTACTCTGTACATATAATCAAGTGTACACAAACGTCTGTACATATACTAAATTGTACAAATACGTCTGTACATATACTCTGTACATCTAATCAAGTGTACACAAACGTCTGTACATATACTAAATTATACAAATACGTCTGTACATATGCTAAAATGTACAAAAAATATATACATATAAAATGTATTTAAATTATACTAAGCAAAATGCATATCAAATTATAGAGAAAAAAACATAGATTTTTGTGAATAAAAAAAAAAGTTTGAAAAAAAAATACAAAACCAAGAATTTTTAGTTATTAGAATGTTGGGGTAAGAATATTTAAAAGAATAAAATAAAAAAAAACAAAAAGAAAAACGAAAATCGGAAAAAAACAAAAAATGCCCTCCCTTGTCATTTTTTTTCTACTTCTTTTTCTATCTCACAAAATCTCTATCTCACTAGTGTACTACTTTGCCAATTTTGAATAGTAAATGTATCACTTCCCCAATTAATTTCTCAAAATGTACTAAATATCTAATTAGTCCCTAAAATATTCTCTAAAAGAAAATTGGGGGATGAGAGTTTATTGATACAATACAATAGTAGTAGTAGTTATCCCTGGGCATATAATCCGGATCCGAAAAAACCGATCCGAACCGATCCGAAAAATCCGATTTGGATCGGTTTCGGTTACTATGTAAAAACCGATCGGATTTTATGTTGAACATGATTCGGATTTCGGATTTAAACCGATCCGAACCGAAATCCGATCGGTTATCTGCTAACCCGAATACACATGGTCTAATACATCACATAGTATACATATAATCTCTATGTTTTTGTACTTCAACGCTCAAACCTCTTTTTTACGTCGGATTGTTCGGATTTAGAGTGTAAGTTTCGGATTTATAGTGTAGAATCCGAATCCGAAACCGATCCGAAATATGATTCGGTTTAAACTCGGATTTGTAATAAAATTTGAAAACCGATCCGAATCCGAAAAAATCCGAACCGATCCGATCCGAAAATCAGTCGGATTCTAATCAGATTCTATATATCCCAATCCGAAAAATCCGAACTCCGAATAATCCGATCCGATCCGACCCGAAAATCCGAACGCCCAGGGCTAGTAGTAGTAGTAGTAAGGGGGAGGGAGGGAGAGAGAGGGGTAATAAAAGAATAATTAAATGTTGGGTTGATCCGTAGATCTACAACTCTCTCTCTCTCTCTCTCAGAAATTCCACGCCCACATCTTGAATAATCCCTTCTTCTTCTTTCTTTCTTTCTTTCTTTCTTTCTTGCTCGACAAAACTCACAGCTGTGTCGTTAGATTCCCATCTTGCAAGGTAAAGTTTCCCTTCTTTCTTTCTTTTGGTTGCTATTACGAAACCTGTTTTGAATCTGCCCACCGCCCGCACAATCTTAGTTTCCCTTTTCTTTAGAATTCGTTTTTTCTACTGTTTCTTTGGCTTGCCTTTACCAAATCCACAACCCCTCTTCAACTCTATTTCACAGCTCTCTTTCCTTCGCACCATCCATCCACTTTGCAATTACATAGATTCACTTCTTTTCTCATTTTTATCAACTTGGACCAGTATTACTAGTAGCAATCGATAGATTGAGATTTCTCACCCTTTTTTTTTCTTTTGCTATTTGTTTGTCTTTGGCGGACACTGCAGTGTTCATTTCAGCAGCTTCTTGCCAAGAAAAGAGCACGCCTCTTTTTCATTTTTAGTCAGTCTTAAGCTGTCCGCTGTTTGCGGCTCCTGCAGCTTCCTTTCTTTTTTTTTTTTTTTTTTGTGTGTGGAGAAATTCAGAGAGCTGTGATTTGATTGTTATCTTAGAATAAAACTGCCAAGTTTCTATGTTGTGGTGGTGGATGAGATGAGGGATGCTATCCGGGTTGATGAACTTTCTCAATGCCTGTCTCTGGCCACGGTCAGATCAGCAGGCACGTTCTGCCTCAGATTCTGGCGGCCGGCAAGAGGGACTCCTTTGGTACCGAGACTCCGGTCAGCACGTCTTTGGTGACTTCTCCATGGCCGTTGTTCAAGCCAACAGCTTGCTCGAGGACCAGAGCCAGCTCGAGTCTGGCTCTCTATCCTCCCTCGACTCTGCTCCCTTTGGCACCTTTGTTGGCGTCTACGACGGCCACGGTGGCCCTGAGACCTCCCGCTTCATCAATGATCATATGTTCCACCACCTCAAGAGTCAGTCTCTCTTCTTTCTTTTCTCTTTCTTTCTTATTTGGTAATTCTTAAACTTAGATAGCACGCAATTTCTCTAGCACTCTTTTTCATTCCACAATCTCTCTTATCTTCGTCTGGTGCACAGGGTTTACTGCGGAGCAACAGTGTATGTCATCGGAGGTGATTAAAAAAGCCTTCCAAGCGACCGAAGAAGGTTTCCTATCTATAGTTACCAATCAGTTTCCAACTAGACCTCAGATAGCCACTGTGGGATCGTGCTGTCTTGTAAGCGTCATCTGCGATGGGAAGCTCTATGTGGCCAACGCGGGGGACTCCCGGGCAGTGCTGGGACAAGTCATGAGGGTGACTGGGGAGGCTCACGCCACCCAGCTCTCGGCCGAGCACAACGCATCTATAGAGTCAGTGCGCCGGGAACTTCAATCCCTGCATCCGGATCATCCCGATATTGTGCTTCTGAAACATAACGTCTGGCGAGTAAAAGGCATCATTCAGGTATAAACAAAAACTAGTCCAGAAAGAAAAGAAAAAGTTATCTGTGTGTATTTCTGAGTGGCTTCCGGTATTTTGACTATCTCAGGTTTCAAGATCCATTGGTGATGTGTATTTGAAACGGCCAGAGTTCAACAGGGAACCTCTGTATGCCAAATTCCGCCTAAGGTCACCGTTCAGCAAGCCATTACTGAGTGCAGAGCCGGCGATCACGGTGCATACACTGGAGCCGCACGATGAGTTTATAATATGCGCTTCAGATGGACTCTGGGAGCATATGAGTAACCAAGAAGCAGTAGATATCGTCCAGAATCACCCGCGTAACGTGAGAACCCTCCCTGTTTCTTTGTCTAAAGATTAAGAGAGAGCGGAAGAATATATAATAACTCTCTTGTTGTTTCTGGGTGGGAATGACAGGGGATTGCAAAGCGGCTGGTGAAAGTAGCGCTTCAAGAAGCGGCAAAGAAGAGAGAGATGAGATACTCAGACCTGAAGAAGATTGACAGAGGGGTGAGGCGACATTTCCACGATGACATAACAGTGATAGTTGTCTTCTTTGATACGAACCTAGTGAGCAGAGCAAGCTTGTTGAGAGGACCGGCAGTGTCAGTGAGGGGAGCTGGTGTGAACCTGCCTCACAACACATTGGCGCCTTGCACAACCCCCACACCTGGCGCCTCCTGACCCTGCCTCCCCTCCCCCACCCACTATTGAATTTTACGCTCTCCTCTTCTAAATTCTTTTCTAAGATCTCTTCTTCTGTAACTATATATATATATATATATATATATATTTGATTATTACTGCTATTATTATCATTGACTGGGGGAAAGGATAAACAAGTGCTAGTTTTGTTGGTTCCCTCCTCTTTTGTTAGCTGTGGACTTGAGCAAAGAAATGGTCACAACGAATATTTATTCTTCTTCGCTCTCTCTCCTCATCTTTCAACTCATTGCTTATTAGCTTCATATTAATAGACCTTTCCTCCGCAGTTGACACTATGCTTGGTTTTGTTCCCAGCCAATCAGCGAGTCTTAGCTCTCATACAATTCTTTTGCCTAAGAGAGTTTTCATCTTTCTTTCTTATAATGAAACATTCTCTATTCTCTCTCCATTATCAAATCTCCCCTAGCAAATTCAATAGGAAAAAAATCAACAACTATTTTTGTGTTTCTATACTTTTCAATTTTTTTTTTTAAAAAGTTAATTTTTGACAGTTTTTTTTTAGTAATGAGTTGATAAATATTTAGAGTAATTATTAGTGGAAAATTCTTATAACACTGTATATGGAAGGTTTTGTTTTTATGTTCTAGAAAAATGTTGTTTTCTAATAGTATATACTTACGTACTAGAAATAAAATAAAGAGAAAATAATTAATTTGATAATATGGACACGTAAAAAAGGGTATAAACGTAAATTGGCTAAAAACGATAAAATTGATATTGAAATCGAATCGGTGGTAATGAATGTTATAGTCCACCACCATAGATCTTCACCTCTCTCGCTCTCGCTCTCGCTCTCTGTCTGTCTCCTTCCTCTACAGATCTTTTGGATTTAGCAGAAAGAGGTACATACATACATATACAATGTCTCTCCGACGATTTATCCATATTCTTTCCTCTCTTCGTTTGTTTTGGATTTGAATTGTTGTTTGGTTTTCATGCTCTTCGCTCGCCCTGAAATTTGGTTGATCCGATTGAGAAATCCATTGTGAGAGCTCGGAGTTTATATATATTAGAGTCTTATTTGCTGACATCTTTTGTTGTTGTTTGGTTTGGTCTGATTTGTGAAGATCGGAAAATGGGTGCTGCTGAAAACAACCTTGAAATGGAGGGTACCCTGGAGATCGGCATGGGTAAGTCCTTTGTTTATTTCAAATGTGAGCTACATGGGATCTTATTTGCTCTACTGCCAGTCTCCATGGATCTTTGCTACTAAAGCTTATGCGTTGATTCTTTCATTTGCGTGCTTTTCTTTTCCTCTGCCTCAGAGTATAGAACTGTCTCTGGTGTTGCTGGACCTCTTGTCATCCTTGAAAAAGTCAAGGTATCTTTTGGTTTCTGATTCAATTTTTGTCTTCTTCTTATTCTCTTCTCCCATGGATGGATGATCCTGCTTCTTTTTTCCCTCCAGGGGCCTAAATACCAAGAAATTGTCAATATTCGTCTTGGGGATGGAACTACCCGTCGTGGTCAAGTTCTCGAAGTTGATGGAGAGAAAGCTGTTGTTCAGGTTTCTCAACTTTTCTTCTTTTCAATTTCTCTCTGCTCCTCTAGTCTCAAGTCTGATGCTTAATTGAACAAAACAATGCTGGGGGTTCACTTATTTATAAATTTCTTTTTAAGGTTTTCGAGGGAACATCTGGGATTGACAACAAGTACACAACTGTGCAATTTACAGGAGAGGTATTGTTTTTGCTATGGAGTAGAAAATTAATCATTTTCTTTTTGTGTTGTAATATACCCTTTCATGGCCTCACTTTGTTTTCCTCAGGTTTTGAAAACTCCTGTTTCTTTGGATATGCTTGGTCGTATCTTCAATGGTTCAGGGAAGCCCATTGACAACGGTCCACCTATATTGCCAGAGGCGTACTTGGATATTTCTGGTGAGCTGCTTTAGCATCTTGCCACATGATTAAATCCAATATTCAATCACAGGGATATAATTCTAGACTTCTGTTTCTCCAGGAAGTTCTATTAATCCCAGTGAGAGAACCTATCCTGAAGAGATGATTCAGACAGGGATATCCACCATTGATGTCATGAACTCTATTGCCAGAGGACAGAAGATTCCTCTCTTTTCTGCTGCAGGTCTTCCCCACAATGAAATTGCTGCTCAGATTTGCCGTCAGGCTGGTTTGGTTAAGCGTTTAGAGAAGTCGGATAATCTTCTCGAGGTAACACGATTTCAACATTACTCATTTACTTGTCCGTGTCTACAGCTGGAAATTGGTTTGTTACAATCATTACAGTGATCCTTTAAACAGTTAGACATACCCATTACAAAATAAATTTAGGGGGTTAAAGTAGGCTTTTCTTTCTTGAATCCTTTTTCAATGGGAGTACTGCAATACTCTGTTTGATTTGGTAAAATCTAGAGTAAGTAATTAGTTGTGTAATGCCATATTTTTTAATATGTCAAAAACAGTATCACATTGCTCCATTTATGTGAATTTGCAGCACCAAGAGGATGATAACTTCGCCATTGTGTTCGCAGCAATGGGTGTGAACATGGAGACTGCCCAATTTTTCAAACGTGATTTCGAGGAGAATGGTTCGATGGAGAGAGTGACTCTTTTCCTTAACTTGGCAAGTCTCGCAGTCACATTATGGACATCTTGATGCAAATTTTAGTTCCAATCTTTCTTTTTGATGGTTTCTCAACCTGTTTCTTGTACAGGCAAATGACCCCACTATTGAGCGGATCATCACTCCTCGTATTGCTCTCACAACGGCTGAGTACTTGGCGTATGAGTGTGGCAAGCATGTCCTTGTCATTCTCACAGACATGAGTTCCTACGCTGATGCTCTTCGTGAGGTGATAACCTATATTCACATGCACTGTTCACAACTCATGTACTTTGAAATGATAGGAAACCTGACATAGTGTTTAACGTTGACTAACACCCTTAGGTCTCTGCTGCCCGTGAAGAAGTGCCTGGAAGGCGTGGTTATCCAGGTTACATGTACACAGACTTGGCTACCATATACGAAAGAGCGGGGAGAATTGAGGGGAGGAAAGGTTCCATCACTCAAATCCCCATTTTGACCATGCCAAACGATGGTAACTCCGACCTGCTATTTTCATGAACTCACTTGACATTTATTCTTTGTGATAGCAATGCTTGACCTATGTTTTGACATTTGATCAAATAGCTTTTTTACTGAGGAATATTTGTTGCTCCTATATTAATGGTTTGATGAGCAGTGAATAATTCTGTTCGAGATTTCCAACTTTTTGCTCCCCTTTCTCTGTCCAGATATCACTCATCCCACACCAGATCTGACAGGATACATTACAGAGGGTCAAATCTATATTGACCGACAACTTCACAATAGACAGGTACACTTTTTTAGAAGATAGTTGGTTCAAAGGTCTTATCATAACCAGTATTACTACAAGGTGATTTTAGCCTTCATGACAAACATATAAACGTTGTAGCAATCCTATATGTGGACTTTTGATTAAGTCTGTTATATTCAGAACTACCCCTTCAGTAATTAGATATATAGAGAGCAAGTGGAAAAAAATAAAATAATCTTGGGAACGGAAACATCTTGGTCATGACTTCAAAATACTGACATTTGATTCATGCATCCGCAAGCTAAAGACTAGAACTGATAGTAATTGGTGTTTCTTTAGTGAACAGTCCTTGTGCATATATTGTATTGTGTATTTTCTGTAAAATCAGAAATGGCAGTAACTTGAATGCTGTTTCACTTCAGTTATTGTGTAGCTGTAAGAAGTTGTTCTAGTTTTTCGGATACGAACTGTCCTAAAAGTTTATTTAAAATACCAATTATCTCTGTGCTCCCAGATATACCCTCCGATCAATGTCTTGCCATCTCTATCTCGTCTCATGAAGGTAAGTGTGGGGGATTCAAAATGAATTAGATGAAGCCAGGTGATCACTTGTTAAAGGAATCTGACTTTGTATTGTAGAGTGCCATTGGTGAGGGTATGACTCGCAGGGACCACTCTGATGTTTCTAATCAAGTAAGACTTTATTTCTTGTGTCACTATTTCCACCATCGTAGATAATCTTGGTTTAAAGTTTTACTTGTCAAATTTTTGTCTTCTTTTTGTGATTTCAGTTGTATGCGAACTACGCTATTGGAAAGGACGTTCAGGCCATGAAAGCCGTGGTTGGAGAAGAAGCTCTTTCGTCTGAGGATCTGGTCTCTCTATTCTTTTTTCTTTTACTACACAATCTAAACGCTTCCCATTTCTTATTCCTCTAACACTTTTTCTCTCTGATGCAAACAGCTATATCTTGAGTTCTTGGACAAATTCGAGAGGAAGTTTGTGGCTCAGGGAGCTTACGATACCCGGAATATCTTCCAGTCACTCGACCTGGCATGGACACTCCTGCGAATCTTCCCCCGTGAGTTGCTTCACCGTATACCCGCGAAAACCCTTGACCAGTTTTACAGCCGCGACGCAACCAACTGAAAAACAGAGTTTCTACTTTCTACAACGTTGGTATGATGATATGTCGAAATGCTTGTTTGTTTGTTACTTCTGCGGTTGGTTCGCACCTCTGTGCCGTCCGTCCCAATAAATGGTGTTTGTTCCCAGTCGCTAGACCCTTTATTTTATTTACTTCGTAACCGAGCAAGCAGGTTGATTATTCTTTTTGGAAGAGAGATTAAGGTTCTTGTGTAATTTATGAGTTTTGTTTTTTCGTTTTGTTAAATTTTTTGTTTTATTTTTTGGTACCAAATTACTGGTTAAGAACAAATACATTTGTTGGTCTTATCACCGATCATGAATAATGCAGCTATTTTTTTTCCTACACGTTGGGTTCTGTTGTCTTATCAACAAATATAATTCAAAAGGCGTGTGTATGTTTGGCAAATTAGAAAAATCGGGATTGAATACAACCGCATAGAGAGCCTATCAAACGAGAATTAAAAAAAACTAGTGTATTATGTATCTGTCTCAACCAGCTTTAGAAGTTCTAACTACTTTTGGCAGCTCAACGGAATTAAGGTCCCCAGGATAAGGAGTCCAGAGCCCAAAACCACCTCGACTTTCTTTCAAACTCTCTCCTTTACCTTTGAGTTCATGTAGACTCTTGACCCACTCGATCTTCGAGGAATGCTCTCGGATGTGAGGGTGCAGTTCGAAGAGAGAGTTGTACTCACAGTTCTGGAACATAAACACCTTGAAGGCTCCTTTTAGTCTGTCCACTACGTACCCAAAGCTTAGCTGGTCCCTCGGTGTAAACAGGTGCACCTCATTGAACCACAGGCAGCTGAATAGATTGTTCATTGCAGTGTGCTCTCTTATGATCACCGCTCCTTCTGGAACATCTGTGTAATGCAAGACAAGAAGCTTAGCAATCAATAAGGCGCATGATGATTTTGATGTTTTTGCTATGGTCTTTACCACTAACAGTGCTCTTTTTTATACTCCATGGCTCCAAACCCTCGTATCGATATATTTTCATATGAAGATCAACCAGAGGTCGGGCGTATCGCTTTCTCCTCTTGCACGCATCAGCTTCCTCATATATGTTCCGGTGGTGTTTGTGTTGAGCAATAGCAAAAGTATGCTTCCCACGCCACAAATACCTGAAATTGAGATGAAACAGAAATATGCATCTTTTAGTACTCTCCTGGTAACGCATAGACTGATAGTGGATATCAATCCTGTGCTAATATGAACACTGAGTCTGCTAGATCACTTGGATAAACAGGTCGTTTGCATATTCATACCTTTCTAATATAAGCAAGGGATCAACAATAAGCTCCATTTTCCCATCAATCCAAATGCTGTACTGTGCTTCAGGGAATAACCTGTGAGTTAAGATTTTGGGGACTTTACCGTTCCGCCTAGGTTCATCATATGGAGGAGTTTTCAGTAGAATAACACGCCAAATGCCAACCCATTTGCCCCCTTGAACATCTTTCCTCACAGTAGTATTTTGTTGTAAGAAATCAAGAGAGACCTCATCTACGACCATAAGGAAACAGAAGAGATTCTTGGAACGCTGGCTTATGTTTGATGGCTGGTGGGGTTCATCATATGCATCGAAAATCCCTGTGGCAACCACAAATCTGCATTTCTTTACGTATGTTTTATCGAGGGATGACATTTCAGCCCCACCACGTGGCATAAATCCGCAATGGACCTGAAACGTTTTGAGTAGGTGATTAGAAGTTATATATAGTAAGAAGAATGGTGGAAGAGGTTACAAGGCTTTCACCTTCATCTGAGGTTTCAGTTGAAAGCTTTCCTGCCGTTGGGACCAGCTAATGTTTCCGCCAAATAGAGGAAACTGAGACTTAGAGGATTCATCCTCTGTTATGTAGGTAAGATTTGTGACAATGGTATCAGCGGTTTTACCAGTGGGAAGGAGCACCTTATCAGGGTCATAGAGAACAGGAATGGGGCATCCTAAACATGAAATACAAAAGAAGAAGAGTAGCTAAGAGCGTGAAGTTAGAAAAAGATAGATAGGTAAGGTGGGTTTGAAAACTGACGGTGCTGGGGTTTAGGAACAAATCCAATAGTGTCTAGCATGACATAGAGTCTGCCTTCTTTGTTGCAAATAGCTGGGCGAAAGTGAATTACAAAGAAGATCAAAGGATAATACAAAAAAAAAAGAGACAAGTTGCGTAGAGGTGGAAGAAAGGGAATGAATACCTGAGAAGAAAGAAAGAGAAGATTGACAAGACCAAACATGAAACAAGAGGGCAACGAGAATGAGGAGCATCCAGACAATGCCTCCAACAAGAAGCAAGCGGAGGAAGCCAGCCTTCCACAGTTTTTTCAAAGTGTAGTCAGTATGAAGTCTGGTGGGAGAGAAGAAGCCAGCCTCGGCATCATCTGCAACATTTTTTGGATTAGCTTCTTCTCTGGATATCATCATAGTCATAGGTCATCTTATCTATAATCTATTCTAATGCTCTCTCGAGAACAAAAAAAAAAAAGAAAACAAAGAGGAGAAAGATGACCTTTAGATTGTGCGTTATGATAGCTCCTTTCACCCCGGCGGCTCAAGCGCACAGAGAGCGATCGCTGGGAGTCACTCATCATAGCTCACCAACACATACATACATACATGGATGCTAATAGTAATGTTGTAGGCAGAACAAACCGTAGCGGAGCAATCGAATCCAATGAGCCAAAGCGGATCTCAGATCAACTTTGGAGAGAAATCAATCCTACTAATGGACTTGAAAATCTCGAATTATCTGAAATCTTTGCTTCTTCTTTGTTTGTGATCGAATGGATCTAGAAGAAGAACGAAACGATTCTTCAATTCACCGCTCTCTCGGTTTACTGAAATTGTTCACTCGCTGGACCGGACCGGACCGGTTCACCTTACTAGTAATTTTATTCATTAGTAGAGTCATCCGAGATCAAAGGTCGTCGGAAAAAAAAAGAGATCCAAAGGGTTTGGAGAGATGGAGGGAGAGTTGATGGAGGCAGATATAGTGGTGCCTTGGCGTTTGAGCTTTAAGAAGATTCAAGCCTTTGATAAGTACCCCAAAGGCCAGTCCACCCGAAGGTGGAAACACCTCAAGCAGATTCTTCAAGCTGAGAATTTCCACGACTCTTCTCCCGACCTACCCAATTGTAACTTCCTACCTACTTTGTCTTACCTCTCATTCTAATCAAAATGGATTTTTTTTTTATTTCGAGTCTTTGTCTTTACTGCGCAGATGTTAACATTGAGTCGCCTCCATCCACTCAACCATGCAAGCGAATTTGCGATATTACTGGATACGAGGTCAGGTCCGCTGTGTCCTTGTAGCTTTTCTTTCTTTCTTTCTTTCTGTTTTCAGATCCAAATCAGCTTTTGTCTAATCACGCACGCAGGCACCCTATGTTGACCCAAGGACTAATCTCCGGTATGCGAATGCCCATGTTTTCAAGACTCTCAGGTCACTTTCTCCCGACCAAGTCCACCAGTATCTCTCCATTCGCAATGCTGCTGTTGTTCTCAAGTAGCACCTTTCACGATCTTTTCTTTTACTTGTTTCTTACTTTTGTAAACCCAACAAACAAACATGTTTTGATCCTTAATTCTTGTTATTTATGGTCTTATAATTAGGAGATATCTATCTTGTATCAATGATCTTTTGTGGTATACTAGAACAGAGTTTGATTTCCTTCAAGAGTAATACATTGGTTTGGATACCGAAATAGACTCTGATTCTTTCTACATCAACAATATCACGTCTACTACAAGAGACAATCTTATGCTGCCTTCCTCATGGGGCTGCTTTCCTCAAGATCAAAGCCAATATGTAACAAAGAGCAGCGTCTACCGACGATAACGCAACAATGAAGACGGCTACCAGACAGAGACTCAGTGTGGCAGTCTTGAGCTGTTTGTTCCCATAACAAAAAAAGTTACAGCTAGTCTCCCTCTCTCATATGTATGTAACAAAAAAAAAACAAAGACAGATGACAGAAAGAACACATACCGTGCTTGCAAAACTTGGCCACTCTATGTATTTGAGCTGACTCGGTTGCTCAGCCATGAAAGAGAAGAGAGACCTCGTGCTCCTTTTGTTATTTTTTTAAGAGAAAGATGGACAACAGAAAGCAATTCAATTCTCAAGACTCTTCCAGCAAACAATGATGTGGGAGAATATAATATAGTATAATACCAGACGATGTCTCTAAGAAGGCTCAGCCATAAGGGCTCTTCTTCGGGTAGCTTGTTAAGAGAGCTCCAACTTTGACGAGCGAAACCTACTGATACCACCGAGCCATACCCACCCGCATGCTTATGATTACCGACTCTCCCATTGATACTCTACAAAACAAAGGAGGAAAACCACACTCTCACACGGAGCTAATTGAAAACCTTGCTAAGCTCTTCATGGAAAGTTGAATTTACCGAATCCCCAGAAAACTTGAAGCAACTGAGTCCGAACCCATTGCGTCTTTCAATCCGGTGTGACGGAGCCAATCCGATTAAACCTATCAATCAAAATCCAAGGAGGATCAGAAGCAGTGAAAATACAGAAAAGCCAGTGGATCGAGAATAATGACCTGAAACGTTTGTGAGCAGACCCGGCGAAACCACCATCATCATCCTCCCCTAAAGCCACCGAGAGTTGGAGGAAGACTGGCCGCGCTAAGTCGCATCTATCGACAGGGCTTCGATTATTTATGGGCCTTTTTGGGCTTACAATTACCTGGACTAACAAGCCCGTTCCAGTTTTGCAATTTAATTTTGGTTTGGTGGAATATGAAAACAGAAGGATAAAATTATAATTTGTCGACAAAAAAAAAAAAAAGGATAAAATTATAATTACATGAGCGCAATGGAACCTCTTTGCCCTGCCCGTTTAGATATTCTTGTTTAAGCATATCGATGTTTTTCAAAATGTCCACGATGATGATAACATCAAACTGAACTAAACTAAACCTTTTCCTTTTCGTACCACATGCTGTTTATTTTTCTGTCAAGATAAATACATGTCTTTACATATCTCAGCATTAGATCCTCACCCGTCCTCCTCGTCATTCGAAATCTCAACATCTGCTTCACCATTCTCGTCCTCCTCCCCACTAGCATCATCATCTGAACTCTCATCACTAGATTCAACGTCAGAATCATCATCATCATCATCATCATCATCCACATTATACCCGTGGAACCATCGAGGGTTACCAGAAACTGAATCCTGTTTGCAAGAAGCATACAAAAAAATTAGTATACCTTCCAAAACCAAATTAGCCTCCTGTCACATGTTTTGTATCCAAAGTACCATTCCTTTTAATATAGGCCATATATTCTTCAAACACATAAACATCTATAAAGCATCCGAACGAGGTTAGGTAATAGATGGCATTACCTGTTTTGCATTTCCCGGTGACATGGGTCTCTCGGTTCCTCCAGGCGTCCAGATTTTTATATCAGTTTCAATTCCACTGCTACACATCAGTGGCATGTGAGGATGAGATTCTACACAATTGACAACATGTTTGTCTGCTTCTATGGCACGGAGAAGCTCTCCATCTTTCTTCCTCCATATGAATATTCTGCCACAGTCAGAGCCACTAACCACATACTCACACTTGGGTCCAAAAAAGTTGACACCTTTGACTGTTTTAAGGTTCTTGTGCTCTTTATAAACCTGCGGCGTCCTCCTCTCCTGAGTTTTAGTTGAAGAGGGATTTGGGGCTGGGCCAAGCCCCATATCAGGGGTGAAAAGATAGATAAACTCGTCAATATATGAAGCAAGGAGCTCACTTTGATCTGAGAAAGCTAGACCTGTTATTCCTACATGGTCGTTTCCAATCAAATGGCGAGGACAGAAGTGGTCAACGGGTTGGGTAAAATTATACCAACCCTCTGATCGATAGCTGCGAATATCATACACACGAGCATACTCGTCCATTCCAGCCACCGCAAAAAGACCTGGGTTCCTCGGATCAACTGCAATTGCATGCAAGTAGACAATTAAATTGTACTTTGCTTCTTTACAAGTGAAAAGATTTGTAGCCACCCGAGTCCTAAGATCAAACTGAAAACAATGTTGCTGTTATAGGCGGCCTAGGCTAAGAAAACAAAGTGCAAGGATTGCTCAGCAGAGGAACATAACTCACATGCTTTACAACCCCATCCTCACCACAAGTATAGAATGAGAATGGACTCCCCGGCTCAACAGCCAATTTGTGGACGGGTCCTTGATGTTCACCCAACAAAGAAGTCTCTACTTGTCCAGATTCAAGAATTTTGGAATAGCGGACCTGTTACGAAATCCAATATGAATGCAAAAGAGGGCATTAGACAGCTTAAGGGAAACATAAGCAAGACCTATCTAGAGATGGTGTGTGTAAATCATTGCAGGTATGAGATTTATAATAACGAAATTAAACTAGAGAAAAAGGAAAGGACTGCACATGTAAGCTGAAGAAGAGAAGCGGGTGCCACCTGCTTATCAGCAGCAGATGTGACAATGCTAAGATCATCGGAGAAAGGCATAAATTTGGCTTGGAAAATATTGTCAGAGTGGCCGGAATTGAAAGAGAGTTTGACAGAAGCAGACTGCCAATCCCAAAGGATAACTTGTTTGTCATCAGAACCTGAAAGCAAGATATCTCCATCTGCGTTGAAACTGACAGTGTTGACACAACCCTTATGCTTAAAGAGCTTCTTGTGAAGACCCAGACGGCGCAATAGATCCTGGTTAGACAAAAATCTCAGTGAGTGATGTCAATTATATGTGCCAAGACATACACGCTTTGGTTTACTGACATTTAGAATTGAAAAAGCAAACACATTATGAAAGCAATAGAATGAATGCAAGTAAAACACAAGACAAATAGAGATAATTGAGAAAGAATCTAAAAAGATGCCATCTACAACTACAAAGCATGGTTAGGTTAGGGGAGGGGTTGTTTAGCATAAAACAACAAAGAAAAAAGCAAAACATGATGATTGATGAAAGCACAATTTAGAGGAAAGAACATGAATAAGAAAACCCTCCTAGAGGCTGGAGTTGGAATCAGAAAACCAGAATAGGAGAAGAAGGCAAAGGCGAGGAGAGAGAGAGAGAGAGAGACCTCGGAGGCTGCAAAACGGGTGGAGAAATTACGATTGGGTAAGAGACCAAGCTCTCTTTCCCACACACTCACCACCGAATGCTCTGTTCTCCGCCTTTTCGCCGCCCGTTCGCCGCTCATCGTCCCCACCAGATCGACTTTTTAGGTTAATTTGATTTGATCGTAAAGATTGAGAACGACTAGAAAAGAAGAAGAACAGACAAAGACCCCTCATAACTACCTTCTCTCTCCCTCTCTCTTTATATATATCATATATGTGCTCGTGTTTTGGGCCGCCAGCGAAGCCTCTCTCTCTCTCTGCCTTTAAAATCATCTTTAGAGGAACCCAAAAATTTGCATTTAGGTATTTTCCATTTAGAGGAGGAACCCAAAAAACTTGCACAAACAATTATAGTTTTGGGTGCATTTGCTTGGGTGGTGTCTGTAACGCCCCCGGACCGTTTCTAAGGCCGGACGAGCCGAGAGACGACCCGGACGCGTTACTGAGGGCGTGGCCGGATACGAGCGACCGAGGTTCCCGCGGTGGAGTACGGGTAAAGCAGGATCCCCGAGTCGGATCGCAGCCGAACCAGCCGTCCCTCTTCGTCCGAGCGCCGAGTCCGAGGCTTTGCAACCCCTATCTCGGACGACACGAACGAGGAGTTGTGCACTCCCATCGGCCCGGACAAAGCCGACGGGGGTGGAATTATATCAGCTCGAAAACGCCATGGTTTTTCCCAAAAAACTTCCTTTGATTACTTATGATAAAGTTTTACAAAACAAGTTTACCAAAGCGTTTTAATCATGGATCCATCGAGAAAATTATACATAATAGAAAAGTAATGTTTTTGCAAAAACATGAAAAATATCCTATCTCCGGCTCCTAATGTTTGCTACGGTCTAGACTCCTTATAAGAATAAACCTGCAAAACAAAATGAGCTTTGAGTATTCTAGCAATACTCAGTGAGCCGGATACCCCCAAATCTATCATGCAATTTTCCCCACCCCAAACCCCAAACAAACAAGCAACAACAGAGAAAGCGTTAGCGGAAGCATAGAAATCGAAACAAGCAAGACCAGCAAAGCAAGCAAGACAACTACGACTCGACTAGCCTAAATCTAGACTCGACTTGGCCTAAATCTAGACCCGACTTAGCCTAAATCTAGACTCGCTAGACTCCTTCCTATCCTATCGATAATCTGATCCGTTCCTTCACTCTTTTTCCATACATCTCAATCGCTCGGGACGAAACCACGAAGGCATTCGGTCCGGAGGATGCATCTGGTTGCATCGTCATGCAACATCTTGGGCTAGGCGCGAACTAGACACCAAGCAGCCTGGTCAAGACCTGAGAAACCACAAAGGTTACCTCTTCTTGACCCCATCACAGCATCAAGGAAACAGATTATCGAACCTAAGAATCAAATCTACCGATCTGAGACTAAGGACTCTCTCTAAAAGCAAGAAATTCTACTCGGAGAAGAATCACTACTAGAAGAGACAACAACAGCAAGCAACCAAACAATCCAAACAACCAACAAGCAACAAGCAACAAGCAAGCAAGGCAAACGAACAAGCAAGTGTGATCCTAGTCTAGGTGATAGTTCTTGGTGATTACTACGAAACTAGCCTAGCCGGATTATCATGTGGATTCGTTTTAGTTGGTCATATTATCAAGCACTATCTTGTAATTAGGCCGGATTGTTTAAGCATGCGGGTTCATTTTTGCAGAA